TTCATTCGACAAGAAGGTTAGGTTGTGTGATTATAAGGAGAAGAATTCGGTTCATTTCTTGCTATTAGATTACGACCGCTAAACAGCAGAATTTGCGATTAAGTAACAGATCACGGTTTTTCTTTGCTTTGAAATCATTCCTAGCAAAATTTATCCGACCGGTAATAATGTTGGGTTCACATTTAATGATGTATCCGCAGAGAAAAGGAGGTACAACTTCAAAGGCATTTGATAGTCTATACTCTCGCTCAGCGAAATAACATATTAAAAAGGGGGAATTTCCTTAACTAGATATTTTTCGATCAAAGTCCCTTTGCCCCAAAAAGGAGGAGAGCCTTCGATGATGGCATTGAGGAACATTGATGGTAGCTAACATAGTAGCCTCAGCCGCGATGAAGTCTCTGAACACTTTTTTCTCTTAATAATCGCCTTTTTGATGTTAAACGATGTTCTTTCGGACACAGCGAGGTTGGCTTACAGAAAAAATCGCTCCTAATTCGTAGCTAATACTGAGGGTGTAGAGCTTTCAAAGCAAAAGGAGAATCCGAAGTGTTATTCACGCATAGCAAATTTCTCAGAGGAAGAAGGAGCGCCCGGCGTAGCCGGGCGAACCCACAAGAAGGAGGGAAGCCTGGCGTTAGCCGGGCGGCCCGACTGGTATATATATGCATCCGCTGTCGCCACAGGCGATTGTCAGTTGCGAATGAACTTCTTGTTGTCCCCTTTATACCTATGATAAGGAACATCATTACCCTTGGAAGTTTTGCCAACGGGCAGTTACAAAGACCGACAGATCGACAAACAAACAACACATAAGAAACTGAGAAAAATGAATTGACGAGAGCATGCGGAAAGTGCAAGCTTTGACTTATGCACTCAAGGACCATTAATCAGATAAAATGATTTATATGAGCCAAAAGATTTGTGCAACATGTTTAACATCTTTATCTCTCTCTTACATGGCCACATTCTCCCTCATACACAAGGGTATAGAATTAACTATTTATACCTATAGAAAACTGCAGAAGAAAGACAAACATCAGATCGAATGAAAGGAATTCGTAAACCATCCAACCAGTGGTTTTTTGTTTTTCCACTTCACATTGATTTTATTTCTATTATTTGTATTTTGAAACAATAGAACTGATATTCGAGTAAAGGCCAGTTACAAGAAACGTCCAGCCTAATGTAAACAATACACTATTTTCGATAAACAAGCACACTGTTCGTAGCAAATTGTTTTCTCTTGAAAGAAGAATGGGTAAAAACATAAGAGTATGAAGAATGGCAGGCAGTATAAGCGAAAGCAGCATCCCTGCAGTGATGCCTACCAGTGGAATGATGTCGTAAAGATTTGGGACACAGAGAGCAACAACCACTGAAAAAGTTTTAGTCTTTGAGAAATATCGAGCATCTCGACGCTGGATTATATTAGCACTTACGTGAGAACGTTGTCAGAAAAATCCGCAGAAGGTATTCACTGGCAGCGGAGCGTCGAGGAGAGCCTCTGCAGAATCGTGCCGCAATTGGGGCTGATAGAATTGATATGATAACGTAGAGCTGAAGAGCGGAGCCTAGGAAGATCTTGACCACCAGCAAGAGCTTCACCGCTATCATCAAGCTTAAAAACATATTTGAGTATGACTTGAATTATGTCGTTTGAACTCTACGAAGGGCGGACGTGGTGTAGTGGCAAATGGCACACTATACCACACGCACGGTCAGGGGTTCGAATCCCGGATCAATGCCCGCCTAGGTCAACCAAGCCTTCATCCCTCCGGGTTGGGTCGGTGAATGGGTACCAGACACGTCTGGATATAAAAGCACTGACTTGTACATCGGCTAGCCAGCCATTGTATAGGCCACATACGCACTCATTACGCCACTACGATTCTGAATGGAAGTTGAGTGCGGGGGCTTATCCCTCAGACGGGATTGATTAACGCCAAAAACTTTATCCTTTTATCCCTTACTCTATGAAAATTCTTTCAATAATTGATCAACTTATATACCTTGAATTTGGCAGGTTGAGAGTGAGACTGCCAGCTACCGATGGCCCAAACGTCAAGTAGCCGAAGAACCCAAGAAAAGCGTATATCAACATTACAACGTTCATAGATGTACTAAGTACACCTGTAAATCCTATCATATCTGCGCCGTTTTTAAGTCGGTTTTCCATTGCGAGTACCTGAATAGGCAGCAAGACTTTCAGGAATGAATATAATAAGAGGAATGAATAAATCTGGTTGCTAACCATAGCTTGCCCTTCAAAAGCGTACATCAGACCACCTGCAGCTATCGTAAGCCCACTGAAATTCGTCACCGACGGTAAAGAAGAAGGTGAGTACTTCTCGTGAAGTATGAGCTCCTGAATACCTTCGAATTATACTTAAATGCGAATTGTATGCCTTGGAAATCAACCTGGCAAGTCTGCTAAAGTCGAACCTTTGTAACCAGCAGTATCGCTAGGAATATAATGACATTACCACAGGCTGATAGGTAAGTAATCACGCGAATATTTTGGACCAAGTTAACGCACAATTGTGGCACGAAAAAGAGCAGCATAATCGTTGTGTTCGAGAAACCATGACCTTTACCAATGAAGAATTCGACCACCTGAAAATTTAGCAAGTGGATGCAGACATTTTTCAGTCAGACATGGGACCAATGTGATCCTGCTGTTCTTTGAAGAAATCGTGACTTTCTCAACCGTGACTTTTTATTAAGAAACTACCGAGTTTGCAATTGTTTGGATGAGCAAGAATCACTTCTTCAGGTCAAATCATATCATCATATTGGCTCTTCGATGAAGTTAGTAGACTACAAGACGTGGAGAGGTTAGGGTACTCCAAAGAAGGAAACTGTAGAGAGAAGCTAGGGCAGAAGAAAACGAAGAATATCGAAAGTGGGGCAGGGCTCCGCCGCCCGTGAATGCCTGAGCATTATTGTTCTGAACGACTGAAGATTCTGCGTCTTGTATCGTAAATATTCATGTACGGGTCCTTCTATTCAAATTATTTAGCGTATTGGCAGTTTCTTATACAAATAAACCCATTCTCATGTCTGTATTCGAGTTATTCAGCGATTCTAAGAGGCAGTTCACGATTGAAACAATTTCTAAAATTCCCCTTAGAATTAACCTTAGGCCCCTAAGAATAGCAACAAATACGCTGTCGGGTTGAAAAGCGGATTACGTAGGGTTCAATTGCCCCAAAACCGGCCTAGCCGACGCCCACACCCAAAGACGGACGAGTTTTCAGACGAGTTGTCGAAACTGTATTGGTTGCACTATTTGCACCAGGACCCACACAACCGGCTGATCGCGGAGCTGGTCACGATATATGGCGACATTGAAAGACTCTTTTGCTCTTTGTAGCCAACTGCTAGCAAAGGTGCACATTAGAGAACTCAGCCAAACACCCCCTCCACGCCAATTTTTCGTCTTATTCTCGTCTGATACCAATTTTTTCAGTGTTCAACCTCTTACTCTCCTGAAAGCACCTATTCTAGTGTTTTCTTTGTCGCTACCGCACTATTCACGGCCTTCGCTTCCATTATTCGTCTTGATTTGGATTTCTCAGATTTATCATGAACTGTGCCTTAAAAGAACCTTCGACATGATGCTGCGGCCTTTCAACCCTGTGGGAAATCACAAATAATTCTTGTTAAAAAACTCTCTTCGAACGTACCTCCAGTATGTGATCTGCCGCGAAAACGAAGCTAACACTCAGCACTCCGAGTTGAAATGCTATGAGGCAAGCATCAACAACCCATCTGAAAAGGCTCGTATTTCAGTGGCGGTTTTCCAAAGCAATCATGAGGTCCTACACCACACCGTCCTTTCACTACATGAATTTGAGTTCCGAGCTACAAGCATCCTTCTCGGCAGGTTCACATATCACTATCATGTGGTACACCTTCATGTGGTTTTACCCATGATCTCCTATTGTTGCTCGTCCATTCTGAAGGCTCAGTTCGCGATAATTTTGGGTATTCTGGATTATGACGAAAAATGGAATTAAGATGGAAAATAGTGCGATGAGGGCGAAGAAAGTGAGTGAATTGGTATTCCCAAAGTGAAAAAAAGCTTCGAAAAAAAAACATTCAAAAGGGAGCTGGAAGAGAATGAGGCCAGAAAAATTAGGAAGAATGGGGCGCTCGGACGAGCTATACAATGTGTGTCATTGTGTACAGGTGGGTCTTCGTGCGAACAGCTGACTACAATAAGCGCAAATGTCTTTTTAAATTCATTCATTCATAAGCATAGTTTAACAAAAAACCCTAGTGACAGCAAAAACAGCTCATCTTTTTCAGCTTCCTGAGGTGGAAAATTGGAATAGAGAACGCAGCAGCAAAAAGAGTAACAGAGAATAAGAGAAGAGGAGAAAAGCATCGTTTCGTCACTAGACGATCAGCTGATTGCGTGCTAAAGTGTTGGTCTTGGCGCGAATATTGTAACCTGTATCGCCTCGACATTCGTCTGACACAACATCGGTCGAGAGTAGGGGCATCCGAGCGATCCGGTAACGGAGCTCCCACTATGCCCTGGCTGCTGAGCTTTGGGATCCGACAGCGTCCTTCCCGTCACCCGTGGTGGCTTCTGGGTATTTCAGGAGGACAACTCAGAAACCTTTCTATTGTGAACTGTGCCTTCAAGAATCAAGTAATATTACTGCTCATTAGTATGTTCATAAGCACACATCAGTTCCTTATAGCTTGTATACCACCAGTCGACTCACCCGATTAACGCCGGACTCCCCTGCTTCTTAGGACAAAGTTGTAATAATCGGCTAACTCCTTTGAAATAAATGACACCTTTCTGCACACGAAATGAGACACAGGACTGACAGGGAAGTCCAAGTGGTACCAAGCACGTGCACGCTTATGATTAGAAGTTGTTTTTTATTTGTTTTTATAGATCTGTTGTTTGTTATCATAAAACTAAACTAAAACTTATCGGCCATTGAAGGTCCAAATGAGAGGCAAGACGAGCCTTTATTGGAGCTCAGAGATGTTGTCGGGTGGTACTAATACCATAACCAAATACAATCATTGGGCTTATTTTTTTAGGGATATATCTTTTGTTTAGACTTCCAAACTGTTGACGGTCGGATAAGTTTTGCAAATGATGTCGCAACAAGGAGATTCGCGACCCTTCATTAGGCAACAAACCTTGCTGGGTGGCGGTCGTAATCTAATAGCAAGCAATGAACCAAAATCCCACCTCCTTACAATGGAGTGCCTTTAAAGGCACAGTTCACGATAATTTTGGGTAATCCAGATTATGATGAAAAATGAAAGACAAGATCGAAACTAATGCGACTGAGGTGAAGAAACTGCATGCACCGGTGATTCCAAAGTGAAAAAAGGCTTCGAAAAACCGTTAAAAAAGGGGCTGGACGAGAATGAAACCAGAAAAATGAAAAAGAGTGGGGCGTCCGGACGAGCTAAACAGTGTGTTTCACTGCGCGCGTGTGGGTCCTTGTGCGAATGACAGACAATGGTAAGCAAAAATTCATTCACTCATAAGCATAAATAAACAAAAAAACTCTAGTAACAGCAGAAGTAGCTCACCTTTTTCAGCCTCTAGGAGTAGGAAATTAAATAAGGGGTCGCGGCAGCAAAAAGAAAAACAGAGGAAAAAAGAATGGGAGAAAAAACATCGCCTCATCACTCGGCGATTAGCTGGTTGTGCGTGGGTCTTAGAACGAGTAATAGCAATCTGTATTGTCTCGACACTCGTCTAACGTGACACCGATCGAGGGGCGGGAAAGCGAACTACGGCAGCAACGGGGCTTCCACAATGCCCTGAGCGCCGAGATTGTGGGAGCGAGAGGGTTCTACCATCCATGGAGCGCTGTGTATTCCTGAAGGAAGAACTCAGTATCCTTTTTTATCGTGAACCGTGCCTTTAATCGGTCCCTTTCATAAACATATCAAGGAGTCAAAGCTAAATCGTAAACACAGGTCATTAGGATATGATCGGCAGGTGGCTCTTGCTTTTTGAGGCTGCTTATCAGCTTTTATCAGTTGCGATCAGTCTTTATCACCATCGTTTATGATCTCTTCGCGTCCCACGTCCCCTACCAAAGTGCCGAGGCTTCGACGTTGGCGTAAAGTGAGTAACGTATCCCGCGGTTTTTGCCGTCTAATGGTAAGGCTCCTCAACAAATATCATATTATCTAAGGCCTATGAGTTTTTGCTCAAACATGCACACACTTATTAGATTATATACGGTGCCACTTGGGTCGCTTGGCTTACGCCGTGCCCCATTTCTTAATTTTAGTGTAGAAAAGGAGAGGTAGCGGACCTTACCAGTGCTTAGTAACGGTTCTAGACGGAAGAGTATGTTTAGTTTATAGTTTTCACCCAAGCCTCAGAAATGGATAAGCACAGGGAGGGGGGAGGGGGGGGGGGGAAGTTGTGAGACAATTACCTCGAGCAAACAAAAAGGATGGGGTCTGAGTTGATCATTTGAATGACTCATACACTCGGTACTTCTTCCCTCATGAAGTTTAGGTTAGGAAACTGTTTATAATCAGCTGAGAATTGTTCCTGAGCACAATCATGGGCTAACCTCCTTATCTGCGCTCTAGTGCTCAATGTTGAAAAAAATCGGAGGTCTCCCAACTTTATAATCACCTACGATTTTTGTGTGGACGTACATAGCACGTTGCCAATGCAGATGGAAATCGAAATTTTGAAATGCCCACCCAACTCCATATAACTCACTTCACTTCGCATGATTCACTCTACTCCATTAACCTACCCACCAGCTTACTCCTTTATATATAAGAAGGGAATGTGAGAACTGGGCTTCCAACATCACTACCTTCATACAGTTTGTAGACCACCGACAAACCGACATACCGGCAAACACCCAAACCGACAAACCGACACAACAAGTTACTGCTTTACAAAAAACAAAAGAAATAGTATAGTATAGTAGCGTAGTATATAGGGTTGTACATATAAACTGGGCTACGGGTTGATGTGGAGATTCTAATTAACTCTCAGAGGTTATGTTGAAACATAGGAATAATGTGACAAATATGAGCGACATTTCATACTAACCAACTTGACAATTTGAAGTATGAAGATAGAAGAAACCCATGGTTTCTTGACAGTCAATTTTACAAAACTTCCTTATTCATATACATATTATATAGTTGCTCCAACACGCTGACACCGAAAATACTCCATGGCCCACCATCGCAGGAGAGTTTCACTCACTGTTAGAATGAGAACGAACTCGGAAACGAGATCTTTGTCTTTCTATCATAATCTTTGTAATTTTGGATCATATTATATCAATTTATTATTCCAATATGTAATTAATTACTAATTATAATCAAGCTTATAATTTCATCTGCTCACAAAGTCGTCTTACAATTAGAGCAACTACGTTAACAGTGGTGCGCCCAGTGTGTTGGGGTTTAAAGAGCAATTCATTCTATTTCAACATTACTATTTCAAGTGCAATTCGACAAACTCTTCCCTTAAGCTGAATGACGATAATCATTGAAATAAATAACACAAACCTGGCTTGCCGCTCATATGGTCGAATCCAAATGTAGCTATTCCGAAAAACTCCAGCAGCCGTGTTCCCATAATCCACTGTCTTTCCTTCGATACCGAAATTCTTGCACGTGATACCGATTACCCAACATTCATCGTAAGAGCCATTCGACTATGTGGCTCGGTGTTTTTGAGAGGTATTACGAAGGAACAAAAACAGCGAAGTAGTACGCGTAAAAAATAAACAAGAACAGCAAAGGAAAATGCAAATATTAACAAGAACAACACAAAATGAAGTCGGAATCAGGTGAAAATTATAAAATTATTAAAAAACATTCTTCAGGTTTGAAAAAAAAGCAAAAGCTCACAGTTTGCCAAGATGTTGCGAGCAGAGGATAAGCTTATACATCGATATCAAACTCAATACACCTATTAGGAATACGAGAGCAAGACCGGCCTGTAAACCTTCTGCTGAGTGTGATGAATGCCATTCCAACTTGAACCACAATTCTGTAACATTAGCAAGAATTCACTCACCCAAAGGCCTGCCTGCTTGAATGATAATGCTACAGAGAAACAACCTGGCCCCATCATTCCGCATATGAAATTGATCAAGATGGACCTCGCACTGAAAGATTGTTATGAGGCTCTGAAGCTAGCCATTAAAAACATAAGAGCCTATACACTCGTTTGCGTTACTTTTCAGATTAAGCTGAAGGAGCAGCTTAGCTGCTACGGGCCTGCATTCGACAGCAGATTTATGTGGTAGTAACTAACAGTCACGAAGCAGTAGCTGCGGAAAATTAATGGGAATAGAGACGATAATAATCATTAAACTGTAAGACCAGCAGATTTTTATGTGGGGTTTTCATCCACTAAAGCAAGATGGGTTGAACCATGCGGGCTTCTTCTAGGGGAGAGGCATTCATAATCCAAATAAGGTGCGACCGATGGCCCTGCACTTGGTCGCGGCGTTCAATATCATTAAGTAATATCACTAAAAGAAACGGAATTCATGTGGTTCCGCTATGGTACACGCCAGCAGCTCGAAAAAAAACTTTTTGCTGCATCACCTATTACATACTGTACACAGAAAGTGTTTATGGTGTTAATACTTTTATATCTTGAGAGGTTTTCTTTATTGGTTTAACTTTTCGACTCCGGAATGATTAATCATCTACGATCTTCACTTGGATGTGACAGCTGATTTTTCCTCATCAAAGGTATAACTCGAAAACTATGAAAAAATGAATCCAAACGTTAGGCTGAAGTCAACAAACCGGCTGTTTCACTGGGAAACCACGTAATCCTCGAGAATATTATCCGCACAAATTAAGTACTGAGTGAAAGTGATCGGAAAGCTGGAGATAGGAGTCTTGACAAAAGCGTTTCAAGAAATCGAACAGACTTGATGGCATCAGTGGTCAGGCTCATCACGTAATGGTCCTATTCATCCTTGAGATAAGGTTGAAGGTTTCTGTTCCATGAGCAACCCCGTTTTCGATGTCCGTATTTACATTTAAATTTATACTCGCGTTCGAATGCACAATTAGTGTGTATCACGCTAAGTCAGTGCAAATGGTAATTGGCCTTGGTGAGTAAGGATGCAAGCATGAATCATTCCTATGTTACACGCCTAGTACCGGTACACTACGCTGTCTTCGTCACACTCAATGCTTACTAAATGGTCGGATTGCAAGCATTTTAAGTGAGGAATGCTCAAATTTTAATGTTAATTAGATCGTAGTAGTTTGGGGCCAGGAGTGAAGAGATTAACGTTTTTCACACACAAGATTCGATGC